GGCCTATTGGCCCATACTACAGGCAGCCCGTTTACACCCAACTCCTATTGCTCATACATCTGCCCAAACTAAAATTGAAGCTTCCCAGAGTGCTCGAGTTAATGATAATGTTCGGTAAATTGTTCCACCCATCTACTATATTTCCAAACCAATGTTTACCTATTTCGCGCCTAAATCTAAGTTTGTCTAATTTAAAACCATTGTTACGAGTTTTCTCTCCTGGTTGGATAGTTTAAGTACCTTTGTTATATCACATTTGTTTAACCCTGACTTTCATTTATACACCTCGATCATATCGCCCCTCATTCTACATCTCTCGAGGGAGTGCAAATTCAGATGCTTTAATCTGTCTCGATACTCAAGGTTCCTAATGTCTTGTCATCCTCCTCTGAATGCTTTCTAGGGAATCAATATCCATTCTAAGGGTCGGAATTTAGCGTGAAAACGTTAGCCTTTTATCAAAAATTAATTTATCTACTATTCATTTTCTGTTGTTAATTAAGTACAGTATCAATAAAAAAATAAAAAGATTTGCATCACTAATCTTCATATACAGTATATTTGTAAGTTTCTGCCTGTGTGTGTGGGGTTTGCCCGCGCACCACTCCCCTCCTAGACAAGCGATCTCTACATTTTTGGTATCATTGGAATCGTTTTGACCCAGAGAGAGAGAGAGAGAGAGAGAGAGAGAGAGAGAGAGAGAGAGAGAGAGAGAGAGTCATATACTGTGTTTAATTCACCAAACTTTTATACAGTATACGAGAGCGCAGCATACTGGTACAAGCTAACATACTTTTGCTGTAATAATACATGTACTGTATAACCTAATCACGGTGTCGTAGCTCAGCGCGCACATGCAGCCGAGTATGATAATTTATAATGGAGAATGTTTGACGAATTTCCACCAATTGTGTTAATGAAGCTACTATTGCTACAGCTCCAATGTCAAAACCCTGTAACATTGGGGCGTTCCTGGGTAGAGCTTCATCAGTGACTCAATGCTTGATATTTCCCCCCTGACCCCGGACTCATTATAACTAATTTTAATTTAGGATCACCTTAAGATTAGCCCCCAGCTTATTCCACCTGATTAGCTCTCAACTTATTCCACCTGATTAGCCCCCAGCTTATTTAACCTGATGATTAGTCCCTAGTTAATTTCCTCTGATGATTGCTGACGCTACCTGGGAGATTACGTTATGTAATATTAGCTTAGGTTACGAGAGTTCGGTTAGGTTTGATTAACAATAAGTTGGTTCATACTAAGGTGACGTAAGCTGGGGCTAATCTTCATGAGATCCTTAATTTATAACGTAACCTTATAATAAACAAACCTTAACATATTTCTAGGTTTATCTACAGAAAAAAAAATCAATGATACACCGAAGATTAATGGTGAAATCGTGCGAGATCTGGAGCCGAGGGGAGGGGTGGCTTAATATGGGGATGCGACCCTAAATCAAGGACAACCAGTATTTGAACTCTAGCGACGGAGCTGTAATCACTTGTGAAAAAAAATCCTACAATTAGAAATGAAAAGTACATTTAAATAACTGAAGCAGTGATAGTTTCATTTTAAGAGATGAAATAATCTTTGGTCACCGGAAACAGGCGAAAATTTTTATCTTGGCCTCCAATCGTGGGACAACCTTGAATAAGCAGGTTGCATTTTCTAACGTCAAGGAAACCGGTTGTGTTTAACACCTTAATTGAACAATAAACCGTATAGTCTTGTCTTCATGGTGTCGGCGTATGATAAAGCCCCGGACAACCGACGTTTAAAAAAATCCTGAAATTAAAAGCAAACGAATATATGATTAAAAATATTCTAATAATCACGCGTTTTGTCTGGATCAAAAAGAACCATGATCACCTAGTTCCCCAACCATCTATAATTTTTCCACAATCTTCAAAAGCACAATAAAAGTGTGAGTAAAGTGTGGACCTTACAACATCAAAATCGAAAGCGATGATACTTTATCCTCAACCTACCCATGAGTTTAAATATACCGAGGTTAAAATATAGCAAATTAAACATTTACAGCTGCAGGGGTGCCCAAAACGTCGATCGAGATTTACCAGAAGAACGAGGGGTGGTCAGTCGGGGCGTAGCCCAGGGATCCTACAGGCACCCATCCGTTATTACAAAAAAATAATATTTGGATTTTGACTGTTGCTAGTTCAACGAACAATTTTGGAGATAATCATATTTTGTGGAAACGCTAAAAATAATTGAACTTTCGGGTTGAGAAGTTTTTGTCAGCGGGTAAAGTTAATGACTGAAGATGGTATCGTCCCAGCCCCTCTGAACTCTCACCATTCTCCCCACCAGTCACTCTGTGACTTGACTGCGTGACAACACGTGAATAAGGTTAGGTTATGATTGGCAAGTTTATGATTTGTTGCGTCTCAATGGAAAACGGTCGTAGTAACGTAAAAAAAAAATTAGTGATTCTCAACAAGAAGTTGTAAAAAACAATTTTTTTACCATTTCCACACACACAAAAAAACACTATCTCTGCTGCATTAAGCATCAAATATTGGGTACTATTTCAATTTCGGTCATCAGGGAATCTTAGTAATTTTGTTAGGTTAGGTTAGATGTCGAAATTATGTTTTTCCGGTGGTTTTTGGTGTTTTGAACGATCCGGACTTTTATATGTCGGAATCACAAAATTTGAATACCTAAATACTGGGATGACCGAAACTAAAATTTTACGAAATATTGAGCAAAATGAGACCAAAATTGTCAGCCAACCTAGCAACGGTTTTAAAATATACGACTAACCCGCAGACGAGTTATTTGTATTGATGTTTATTTTCTTACCTTATTTTCATGGGTGAGTTCTGATATGGTAATCATTTCTTGTGCAAATGTTTCGTTTTGTAGATAATTAGGCGCCTAGGCGAGCACTAATTTGTCTTCCCTGCGGTAATGACTCAGAGTTCCGCTGTGCTTTTCCCCGCGCTCACGGTCAGGGTTGCCATATGGCCGTTTCCACGGCCAAATTTATCTAATTAGGCCGTAAAAAAATTCGTCTGGCCTGGAAAATGGATGGTCACGGTCAAAGTATCTGGCCGTATTTTGACCGAATTTTGTAAAACACAAATTAATTCCTCATCTAGTGGATTTTGAAGAAAAGTCTAGCAGATTTTCAAATTTCACAATGAAAATGCTGGCTCAGTGACCTCACATGTTTACGTGACCTACTGAGCTGACTGATCTTTCTAGTTACTACCTCAGTTGTTAGTTCTCATATTTGAGTTGTTCAGGCTGAACGTGTCCAGCATATGGGTTAAGCTTCAGAGCTTACAAAGCCATCTGAGTTACTTTCTGAAATTCCGAGTGCTAGTTTTCAAAATTTCCACTAGTAAATGGAAAGGGTCCAACGACAGTGGTAGAAAATATAACAAACCAGGGGACGATGACGAACTAGACGTTTTTGCTTACGTCAACTAGTGTTAAGTGCTCCACCATTATCATGCTCCACCACCATTTCAGATTAAAGTAAATCTTCACTGTAGATTATAGATATTATGTTTATGTAATTATTGGGCTCTCAATTCTAAGTGAAATTTTGGTTTTATTACGACATTTTAAGTGAATATTGTAGGGGATACGTTTATTTCGAGTGGATTGCAAAAATAGCCTTGTGCTTCCCATCCAAAAAATTTTGGCCGATTTGGCCGTGAGATGGCGTGAAGCTTGTCGTACATCTGGCAACCCTGCTCACGTCAGTTTCATTTTCAGCATGTGTGAATGTTGTCGCCGGTCTTATTTGTACGTAAATTGCGAATTTAGGCATAAAGACAAGGACACCCTTTAAGTTTTCAAAGACCATTTTTTTTAGGGGATTAGCCCACCCAGGCACAGGTCACTGACCTTCATTGGGGCCTAGGGGGCGAAAATGTATAATAATAATAAAGAATTACAAAAATGAAAAAAAGATAAAAAGTGAGAAACAATATATGTATGTTGAGTTGTCAATGGTAAGAGAAACAATTGAGACCCTGCAATTGTGTAAATGAGGCAGAAAGACAGATCAGCAACCTGGGACTTGGTCACAATTTTCGTGATGTCATATGGCACCAGGGTCTACCATCAGGCAATACATTGTTTCCAATATCTTCCCGGCATTGTTCCTTTAAATAGAGACTGTCCACACTACGGGAATCCCTGCCATCACAATAAATCACTCCGCCGCCAGGGCGTCATAAACCGCCTTCCAGAAAAAGCCTCAAATTACACCATATCATAGTAAGTTCTTTCTGTTTAATATACCGTGGGGTCAGGGATAAGGTTAGGTAGGTTTGTTTGGCTCGGTTGGTTAGGTCTGTTTTTCATACCCACAAAGGTTAAGTTACGTTTATTTTAGAAATAACCATTTTTTAACACAATTGCACAAACTACAAGTGTCCACTATTAAAAAAAAATTAAATCTGAAGTTTTTAAAGCCTTTTCTATTAATTTCGGCCACGGGTTAGTCATGAATAATTGCCCTAGCAACAGTCAAGATCCAAATAATTACCCTCAAAAATTGCGATTTTTTTTATCTCCATTATTGATAGGATTTCGTGACATGTTTTATCTTTGCATCTAGCAGTCATTTGGCAAGGAAGGACACAAATAATTTGGGGAATATCTGTCATGCAGTACAAATCATTACATCCGTAAAGTAGGTTCCCCAAACTGTTCTTAGATGTATGATTATGCATTTGAAATTATATTTACACACACTCTCCAATAAGACTTAAAATCTATCCATTATCTGCTGGAAGTAGGGAAAAGATGTGCTAGATCACGTTTGAATAACCATGGAAAAAGTCGATCCAGTCACACGAAAGCCTGGCCATCCCTAGAGTAACGAACTATGAAAGTAGTGTGTACTTATTCTTGACCTACTTTATCATAATTTATATATACAGTATTCATCACCACTCGAGCATGCGCTCACAAAACACAGTAAAATTTGACAAAATTGACCCGTAAAAAAGCGTACCTTGGACACAATAATAACAGAGAAATTTCCAATTGCTTTCCTTTTTCTTCCGTGCTCCCTGACACCTGTGTGCTGAGCCACTTTCTTCAACACTGCTGCTGTTGCTGGCGTGGGGTGAGGGCCCGTTGCCTGCCCTATAGGAACACCTGTGATCCGTGCAAATCTCGTACTGCTTCCAGTAGTATCAGAGTTAAATTATATTATATGTAAGATGAAATTAATCGAGATTTATAATAAATTATATATTGGTATTTGTTTCAACTCCATACAACTACAGTATATTTATTCTGCATGCAGTACAATAAAATATCCCGATGTCAATGTGATCTTAGAAGTTGTGTTTATTATGAAGATATTACAATCATTTCCATATTATGGAAAATTAACTGAGCCTATAGAAACTTACCACATTAATAGCGAATGAGATAAATATACAATACACGTAACATTTACGGCTTCTTACGTCTGGTAGCTATGCTGCAACAACTCGTACATTTCGAAAAGTGTGAACAGCTGGATATAAAATTTTCACGGTGATTTTATGATGGTATAGTCCTTCTTCAACTGTAAAACCAATGTTGGACATCTGAAAGCTCTTGCAAAACATTGTGAGCAAGGTTTTTGTAATCACATCCACATATGCAAAGGGTACCGGAATCGAGACTAATGTCCCATCCAGTAGCATTGTCTTAAATGATAAAATATGCTAAGATGATAATAATGAAGTAATTAATTGATAACCATAAAACAAACAATATTTTTTAATAGTTACAAAAAATAAATTCAGTCTTTTTTCAATAAATGTTTTCCTTTTTTAAATTCGACTCTGCTTGACTTTCTATTTACAAATGTGTATATTTTTACTTGAATGGCTCACGTTATTATTTTCACAAAAATATACAAATGATACTAAAGTAATTACCATAGTTCACACTTTTCTGCTATTGCTGATATGAATTGTTTAACCTTTTCATAGCTAAAGCTGTGCCCAAACCAGTTCAATATCTCGTGTATGAGGATGCACCTGGGGCGTACCAACGGTAAGGAGGCGTATCATATGTCCCAACGGGATGAAGAAACTGCACTTTTTGAGACTGAGAGATTGGAGCGCCTGAACTTGCCTAGCTTATACTACAGACGGGCAAGGGGTGACCTAATTGAGGTGTATAAACATCTCAAGGGCCACTACTCAGTCCAGTGTCCTTACTTGGAGCTGGCGGACGCTCGCACCACAAGGGGTCACAGATCAAGATTGAAGAAGCCGCAAGTCCAGAAAACTGTAAGGGCAAACTTTTTCGGAGTGAGAGTTGTGAACTCTTGGAACAATCTACCAGAAAGTGTTGTGACGGCACCAAGTGTGAGCTCTTTCAAGACCAGACTTGACCAACACTGGAGCAGGTTCAGGTACATTCAGGAGCCGGTGCATGCCCAGTACTTGCCAACAGTGCGTAACAGAGACGTGACCAAAAAAAAAAGTAAAAGCATTCTATTATTATTCTCAACACGTCTATAAAAAAATATGCATATTAATTTAATGTACTGTACATTCATATCTAATTCATTAGAATTGTTAATTTCACGGAAATATACAGTATTTGTTATACCTATTTTTATTTTCAACAGAATGAGTTACTCATTATATATATATATATATATATATATATATATATATATATATATATATATATATATATATATATATATATATATATATATATATATATATATAATTACAGGGGCGGATCCAGGAGTATCAAAGGGGGATCTAAGGGCCCTACCCCCAGAATTTGTTTTTTTTTAATCTGTCCTATTTCATGTGCAATTTGATGCCAATTTCAAGTCAAGTGCACTTGATATTAGGAGACATTCACAGGTCAATAGTAATTACTACTTACTATTCAAAAGTGTCTGAGCATTATACTGTTTTAAAGAAAATGTATTGGAATTTTCTGATGATAAGGGGGGTCCGAACCCCCAGGATCCTCCCCCTGATATATATATATATATATATATATATATATATATATATATATATATATATATATATATATATATATATATATATATATATATATATATATATATATATATATATATATTTTATATATATATATATATATATATATATATATATATATATATGTACTCGTATATGCTGATAACCTCAGGGGAAGAAGGAAAACACGAGGTTCCCAAGCGCTTTCGTCTACAGGAATTCACATCTTCAGGGGTGAGTACAGTCTGAAAATGTTGAATAACACGAAAGCACTTGGGATCTCTCTCTCTCTCTCTCTCTCTCTCTCTCTCTCTCTCTCTCTCTCTCTCTCTCTATATATATATATATATATATATATATATATATATATATATATATATATATATATATATATATATATATATATATATATATATATATGCAAAAGTAGTGTAGGCATTTGAATGAAGTATAAAACAGGAACTTATTTTATAAAGGTTATTTTTGCTTTAATACAAATCTGACACATTAAGAATAAAGTAACTTTTGTAAGAAAAACTTCACGCGCCAAAAGTAGTGTAGGAATTTCAATTTAGCGTGAGGGCAATGCACCCATAGCAATATTTTAGATTTTTTTTAGATTGTCCACGAGGGGGCTAGTTTATTGGACACACCCTTACATCCTGTGCAAGGTGAAGAGCAGTCTGTAAACGCTTCTGCGCTGCACAGAAGCGTTTACAGCGCCCATCTGGGAAGCATGCTGAGTTCATGCTTGCCTTTATGACTCATGCATTAAGGGCGTAAAAGCCTGAAGGGTCATGGGTTTTGTCAGCAATTTACATAAAGTGACAGAATGATGAGTGTGTGGGGGGAAATTTCCCGGTACAATAGCGAGTACTTTATGGTGCGCCATAATGCATGATTGGATGACCTTGATTGACTTTTTTTTTTAATGACGAAGGTGTAACGGTTACTGTTAATCGATACATTTCTTAGAACAGCAGTAAATGCAACTGCTAATCACCATGAGTCGTGGTTTCAACAGGACAGTGCCACTTGCCATACTAGACAAGCCATGGACATGGATATGTTAGGAGAAACTTTTGGAACCCGAATCATCTCACGTCGTGATGACATCAACTGGCCAGCAAGGTCACCCGGATTAATTGCACCAGAATTTTTCCTCTGGGGATATTTAACCACGGACACTTGATGATTTAAAGCAGAACATCAGAAATGAAATTCGCGGAATCAGTCAGGAACTTTACTTGTTGTTATGAACAACGTTCTTTTGAGAGCACATTCATTGTATTGCTGCTCAACAAGGGAGGATCCAGGGGGGTGGTCCTGGGGGTCCGGACCCCGTTTCATCAGAAAATTCCAATAGTGCTTCTCTTTAATGCAGTATTGTTTGCCTACTCAGGCATTTTTGTATAGTAAAAAGCAATTAATATTGACCGCAGAATATCTCCTAATATCGAGTGCATGTGGCTTCAAAATGCCCATGATATTGGTCAAATTAAAAACAAAAAAATCCAGAGGAGGGCTTACAGCAGCCCCCCCCACCCCCTCCAGCTGGGTGGGCTCGATTTGCTCGTAATGTTTCCTCACCCAAAACGTCTTGGACCCCCATTTTCATATTCCTGGATCCGCACCTACTCCATCAACATTTGAATGATGTTTTTCATACAGAAGTTACTTTAATCTTAATGTGTCAGATTTTAATTAAAATAAAAATAATTTTGCCTCATAATTTTTCTTTTTTTATACTTCATTCAAATGCCCACACTACTTTTGGCGGACCCTGTATAATGTGTGGGTGTGTAGTGGATTCCTCCCGTACAAGCATCGAACCTTCTCGAATTCCCCAGCCTACGCCTCCAGCGCCGCCCACGGAGCGGGGGTCAACTATCTACCCACGCCTACCCCCGCCTTATAAGGCCTGACACCGCTGTGAACAGTCTCTTTCTACTCAGTGCCACCAGCAAGCAACACCTCCTCCGCGCGAGCCTGGCGGCTCCCGTTCCCGCCGGCGACCTAGGCGTCCCTCAAGCCGCGTGCCCTCACTCTGGGCATCCTCACCACCCAGCTCTCTCTACTCAACGCTTATTACCATGCTACCTACCCAGCAACAAGCTGCATTGTACATCCAATACAATATGTATACAGTGAGCACATTGTGAGTTTCCTTTCTCCATCCCATCCTGAGTGTGAACCAATATCTCATAACCCCATAAATGGTGAGCCCCGGAGATTCGCACTCACACAGGATGGAGGAAAAACTGATCACTCTCCCAGTCTTCAAGCAACATGGAAGACTGGCTTACCAACGCAGAGGCAGCTCTCATCGGCTCTACAACTAGTGTCTCTACACCGCAGCTTAGACACCCTAGAGCAGTTCTGCTACTCTAAGCAGACAGCCGCTCCTCTTCCTGCCCCAAGCACCACGTCCTACCGACCCCAACACACCCGTCCTGCCTCAGACGCCGCCCCCGGTCCAGTAGTACTCCTTGCCGCTCCTCCTGTATTGGATGTACAATGCAGCTTGTTGCTGGGTAGGTAGCATGGTAATAAGCGTTGAGTAGAGAGAGCTGGGTGGTGAGGGTGCCCAGAGGAGGGACACGGGGCTTGAGGGACGCCTAGGTCGCTGGCGGGAGCGGCAGCCGCTAGGCTGGCGCGGAGGAGGAGGTGTTGCTTGCTGGTGGCACTGTGTAGAAAGCAGGGCCGGATTCAGGAGTGGGCAAAGTGGGCAGCTGCCCAGGGGCCTCCACAATCTGGGGGCTTCCACATATCAGGGCTGGTCGACTTGAAACCACATGAATGACTCCAGTCATGTCTCACTCTTGTGTGTGTGCTGGGAATTTGTACACTATCAATAAATATAGTTAATTAAAAAATTCTCTATGTTCTAATTTCCTCAATATAACTGCATATGGCTTCAAAATTCTCCAAAGAAGTGTTCAAATTTCAAAATTTTCCCGGGGGGCTTACAGCGCCCCCCGGAACTCTCAGATGTTAAGGCTCGCTTCGCTCGCCACCCCACCCTCTTGGGTAGTTATAATGAGGGGGGCTCCACAAAGAGACTGCCCATGGGCCTCCACAGGTCTAAATCCGGCACTGGTAGAAAGAGGGTGGTCACAGCGGTGTCAGGCCTTATAAGGCCAGGGTAGGTGTGGGTTGATAGTTGACCCCCGCTCCGTAGGCTGCGCTGGAGGCGTAGGCTGGGGAATTCGAGAAGGTTCGGTGCTTGTAGGGGAGGAATCCACTACAGGTGCTCCTTTTCCCTAATGCTTTATCCAATTCCAATCCCAAGTGTGAATTGCACAACTAAAAACCCATTTCCATTTCTGTTCAAAATAGCCCTTGACAAACTTTTTAAGAACAATGGAGGGATCCTAAACAGGCCAGCGGTGAAGAGGATAAAGGTAAAAAAGTAAAAGGTAAATATGGTAAGCAACTTTTCTGGAGGGAAAGTTGTGAACACTGGGGATGATCTGCCATGGTGTGTTGTACCGATACTGAGCAAGACCAACCACCCGAGACCTGGCACTCAAGCAGTTAAAATGTAGACCAGTGTCGAAGAGAATACAGTAAAATATAGAATCCACAACATACATAATTATGAATTACAGTAAATATTAGCGTTAAAAACAAAAACAAAATGACAAACATTTAAACAAATCTTGTTTCCAGATTATATTGTGTATAAAAAGATGATGAAAAGAGGTGCTCAACGAACACCTAATATTTTGTTGAAACGTTGTAATTATATAAATTTATTTTCTTAAATTATCGCAAGATAAATAATTTGTATCCTTATTTATCATTATTTGGGAGAATAACAGTATGTAACCTGTAATTACCTCAGGTTTGGTAGCCAGCCGCTGTGTCTGTAGTGTTCAAACAAGGGAGTGACTCTGTTGAGGGAATAATGTAAGGTTTAAGATTTTATCACTCCTTTAAGTATTTAGTCACCATTATATATGGTACAACCACATAAATATTATTTTTTGTCGGTAAAAGATGATTGAATGTGCTTACTTATATAGTTATTATATTTTTATTATGAAGGTGTGGCTTGTGGGCTCCCGCTTCTTTTTAGAGGTAGTTATTTGATTTGATTGTACAGTATTGTGTAAAAAAAACTTATCAGTCAGAGTACTGTCCTCATATCTGAGGGCTGACGACCATAGTCCTCGACTCTAAACGTTCTTGGGCTGTTTTTACCAATTTTAAGGTTTTGTATCTCTGGGGGACTCCGTTTTTAATTTCATTTATTCATCCACCTTATTCTCTGCCTTCACCTGGCCCTCACCTAACTTTTCCTAACCTATAAAAATCTTAAAACGATTTAAAGCTAACCTTATTTGTGTTTTCGGTGTTCAGATAAGGAGGGATCCATGAACTCAAAAACGATTCTTACCCTTTTTATAGGTTAGGAAAGGTTGGTTAAGGTTTTCAAAGATTTGTTTGGTTTTCCCTTTTAGTATTTTATACCCACGTTTACCCTATTCTTCAATACCCAGCCCACTTTGAACAACCAATATTGTTGGTAATTTGGGGGGGGGAGTCATATCGGTTATAATACTGTACTTGAAAAATATAAATTTGCAACCGAAGCATAATAGAATATATATATATATATATATATATATATATATATATATATATATATATATATATATATATATATATATATATATATATATATATATATACACACACACAAAGGTGGGCACGCGCAACTTTTTTTGCGCCACAACCTCAACTCTGCTGAAATAGTTGAGCCGCAACCATTTTCAAAAAGTTTCGCCATAAGCGCAACTTTAAAAAAAATAAACAAATGCTAAAATAATTTTGTTTTGCCTATTTACAAGTAAAACTAAATGTAATTGATACAAAAAAGTTAGTATTATCAATATTTTATTACAAAATTAAAAAAAAAAATGCCTCACTACCACTGGCCTCAGTCACAGTGGACTGGCTGTCAACAGTCTCAGTCACTTCAACTTCTGTGTCCATGTCCTGGTCGGCAGAGGCAGGATCACTGCTGCCGGCCACAGACTCCTTCCTCCTCATCACAAAACGATCCATAATACTAGTAACAACAAGAAACAAAACAACAAGAAACTGACGCCTTAGCTGCAGTGCTACTGACTGCCTGACTGGTTATGATATGAATCATTCCTCCCTCTCCTACCCTTGCTGTAGTTACCAGATTTCATCTATCACATTAACTCTAGTTTCTAGAATTCAGAAATATGCTGCTCGACATGTATCATGTGTATGCTGAATCATTCTGTCAGAAACAGAAATTTTCATACTGCGCGGCTCTAGGGATGCCCGTTTGTTTATGCGGTCGTATTCCAATTTTCAATTATTGCCGAACATTTTTGCGGTTGCGCTTGAAAATGCTTGTAAAAGTTGAGCCACAACCAGTTCCGCAACTCTCTGGAATTCCACAACTCTCTGGAAAAATGGGCAGCGCAACTGCCCATCTTTGTGTGTGTATATATATACAGTATATATATATACAGCTCCTCCCCGACTTACGGCCACCCGCACTTATGACCTGCTTCAGTCGTACCAAACTTGTCAAATTACGTATTTTCGAGTCCCAACGTCAGTACACAGACAAAATTTTCGTTTGTAAGTCACTTTAAAATGGCTGGCATGCTTAAAAGTGAGAGTTTTGTGGTGCTGAGAAGAAAAAGAGACACCCATTTTAGATTTTTTTTGTACTGTATTATTTAAGCATTTTCAACTTACGACCATTTCAACTTACGACCTGGATTTGGGTCCCTAACCCTGTCATAAGTTGGGGAGGAGCTGTACTGTACTGTAATGAGTTTAAGACTGGAGAGATTCATTTTTTTCTGTAGTATCATTAAGTAAATATGTTTACACTATAGTTTTATGAGGCACCTGGTAATTTACTGACAAGGGTTCTCCAGGTTAAATACGGGTAACATTCCTGAGGACATTTGTAAGTCGGATTTGTATGTAATTTGGAACACATGCTATATGAATACTGTACTATCAAAACAATGTTTAAATTCCCACTCTATCATAGCCTAAATCCTTATACTGTATACATCTAAAATCACTTAATTTAAGACAAAGAAGAAATAGAATGATAAAATACAGTAAATGGAAGTAAAATATAAGTCCTTGATAAATGTACAGTATACATGTATATCAGGTGCCTACAATAGAGCTCAGGATCTCAACTGGCTCAGCCATGTTGATATTATGATTTTTAATCAACTCTGTATCTGTGTTCTACTGGCAAAATAAACAGTTTCAGTATCAATATCAAGAAAATACTGTCAATTTCAAGTTTAACCCCGTTTGTATCGGCGGGCATTATTGTTATTATTAAACACTGTACTGTATTGGTTTGTGGCTCTATCCAAGGAATTTTAGCTGTTGTACTGTACAGTAGCTAAAACAACCATCTGTGCATACTTTGTGGGAAACAATATGAGACCATGGACAATAAATTTTGGTATATGAGGGCTGTCAATAGTCACACATAAAATTTCAGAGCATATCGACCCCCACCTGCACAGATAGTTGTTTTAGTGACTTTACAACTTATGCATGTCAAGGTACTATATTACTTATACTGTTTGTAGAAGGTAAATTTATTTTGAAGAGAATATAGTCCTGTAATGTGCCTGATGATAAGTCACACTATTGTAATGTGTTTGTAAAATTCATTGTATTATTTTCAGTTAGTGTACGGTACTGTACTGTATTTGTGGAATGGGTGTTGACACTGAACTAAATGTTGCCCATTTCCGGGTCGTGTTGGAGGGTGAGACACACTCATTGAGAAATTACTGCTTCAAGTGGAAGAAAAACTTGAAAGCAAATTCAGATGTTCCTGAGGATATTGAAGGCGATATTATGGTTGCTATTGGTATGTAATATTCTGATTACATATACAGTATACTTTAAGTTGTTGTCTGTAGATGCTTACATTACCGTTTATACCAAAGATCTTGTAGAATTATTTCAGAATTCTCATGAAAGCTTATGGTCTTATAAGATATACTCTCACTCTGGTTAGAAATATTTACCATAACTTTCAAGAGAGTTTAAGTATGACCTACTGATCATTTAACAAATGACCTATACAGTCGGGTTACTTGCTAGAATACTGTACCTTGTTATAGAGCCTGCTTTATCCAGGGGGGGTGTCTGCATGCTTTAGATAAGTACATTACACTGTCCATCTGGATTAGTATCAAAGCTACTAAAGCAACTGCTTGACCAGGTTAATCTGTGTTTGTGAAGAAAGTTCCAGTCCTGATCTGGCTGCATGTTGAAAATCCAGTGAGTCAAGTAGCACACTTATGATCCCAGAACAAAAACGCTTGAATTTGAACCCTTCTTTCATAGATTTAGGCCTCTGACATCCAACCTTGCATTTTTGCTTTCTTTGCCTGCAATTAACACAATGCCTTTTTACAAGATAAGTAGCATTTTTGGTCCTGAACAAACATGTCATGTTGTTTATTCACTTTGCAATTGTTATTTTTATTTTTGTATAATGCTAGTGCATGCCCAATGGTGTTGTGTTAAAGTATCAGTTTTAGGACTGATATTTTCCAACTCTGCAGTATATGCTTAATCCTTGCATGCTAATGTCATGTTGACAATAGGCTTTGGGTCGTATTCAAGATCAATTTACATGGGCTTTCCTCATGAGGAATCCTCACGTTTTGCATTCAAGAAGCTTGAGGATATTTCTGGAGTTTTCGTGAGAAGGGGGTGGGTTCCCTCAACAAGCCCTAAGGATAAATTAGTGTTGATTTTTAACATAATTGCAATTACAAATATGTTGCAATGCTTCTAGTATAGTTGAAAAAAATAATCATCATACATATATGATAAATTTCACTGATGGACAAGGATGGATATGGCGTTTAGACATTCAAACGCTACCCTCCAAAATTTAATATACTATATCACGTTTGTTTACCAAAGATCACACCGCCAAATTTTAAACCCATTCATGAATTTAGTGTGAATATAGAGGAAGGTCTTACTAAAGAAATATCCCTTCAATTTTGTTGATGTCTTAGGCCTACTCTAATCCAACACAAGCATGTGTGAACTAACTTGCCACTAAATAATATAAAAGATACATTTGATAATTCTATTGATTTAGTATATCAATACTTTTATTACCCATAACTAACATTACAGTATGGGTTGTTTGACACACTCCAGAAAGATTTCTCTTTAGTTGTCAATATTTTTACTGGTGATATATTAATCAAATAGTATATCTGATATTAATTAAATATTTCAATACTTGTAGCATATTAGCTAAGGTCAGGGTTGAGTCAATACTGATCTGAAGTCTTCACTGTACAGTACCTCACACACACACGTGAACTCATTCATCACCAGTATACTGTACAAGATTGGTAAATTTGTACAAGTTGTCCATAATGTGCCACAATACTTTTGGGTCCAGTTCTAGGTATATCTCATCATTCTGAGTATCTTTCATTCTATACATTTCTGTCACAAATGAATAATAGTGAACATAATAGAACCTAACCTAACCAATCAAAGAAACCTACCTACCTAACTCTCTAGCCCCTCCAGTGCCATATTAAACAGAAAATACTTATTTTGAAATCTGGTACCAATGAAAGCAACTTTATTGAAGCATCATGGTATAGTTTTACATTTTATGTGGATGTGAGAGTACACTCAGACTGAGCAGGTTGGTTAAACCAACAGATGATATGCAGTGACTCAGCAGATTATGGACAACTTGTAAAAAAAGATACCACAATATTTATACTTTGTACAATACAGTATACAGTAGACCCTTGCCATTTGCGAGGGATAGGTTCCAAGAAATGACGCGAATTGCAAAACCGCGGTTAGCAACTTACACTACCTTAGTGCACTACCATGAAAGCCGTGGCAGCAATCATTCCCCCTTTTAACTTATCTAATACTGAACAGTAATAAAACTTTCTTTGTCAAGGTCATCACTGACTTCTGCTTTTTACATTTCATTCCACTAGCACTGACACTTGGCAGTCTTTTAGGGGTCATTTCACACAGAAACACTAAAATTTTGAGAGTGCTGCAGGAAAAGGCTTGCATGCGAGCCAACCATCTGCTTACTGCAAATTGTCGAAATCGCAAACTCGTGAATGGCAAGGGTCTGCTGCGCTGTGTATGATAATTCTATTGATTCAGTATATCTTTATTTGATTTTTATCACCCACATCTAACAGTAATTCTGGTCAACTGTTCTCATATGGCATGCCAACATTCCGATTTTTCCTATGTTGGCAGACCTGGGGTAAGTCCCTTGCAATCCCCACAATTTGTATCACCTAGAATACAACCAACGCCCATGGCTTGGGCAAAGCTCACTGTGAGGTTTCCTCATGAGGAAACCCCACATAAAACGATCTTGAATCTGGCCCCTAGTCATCCCCCTCTATTATCTATAAGTCAAGCACATCAGTTTTCTTTGTCTTTTGAACAGATTTAATACTACAGTACAGTATATACATAAACCTATCCTGAGAGGTAACTTATTTATTCCTGCACATCCCATAATGCTGACAATGGACTTTTGCTACATTATAAAATAATGTTCCCTTCAATTTGATAAAAACTGCAAAGGGAATCATTAAGAAAGACTTACCACTGGTGTCACTAATTTCCAGTTTGTACTCCTCCCCTATCCAAATGTCAAACTTGTATTTCTTATTATAGTATTGCACTAATACGAAAGTGTGGGAGTTACTGAACCTGTAATGAAGCTCATGAACTTGCCAAGTAAACATAATATTATTGCTTAATGAGATACTGTATAGTTTTCTTTACTGTTTGTGGTTTTCAGGTTTACCTTCATTTTGATCAAGACTGGTGCATTCCCAACACAATGAATGATTTTTATCATTAGATATGAAAGTAAATTAAGAATACTGCTCTGTTTTTACTAGAAGTGTGACAGTCGATATCTTTCACAGGTCAGGCTGAACTCCTCATAAAAGAACGGTTCAATCAGTTTAATGGTCTGATTGATGACTGTGAATTTAAACGAGGGGAAAAGGAAACAACATGCTTGGATCTTCAGGGATTTTGGGATATTGTATATCTTCAGGTAAATTTTTTTAAATTAAGGCAACACTTCCCTGTCGACCACTAATTGAAAGCACACCAAAGGCAGCATTGGTCCTAGAGACAGGGGTTGGTATGGTTTGCCAGGAGACATAGGCCCGAGGGGTTACATATGATAATTTATGCCCCCTGTACTTAATACTTTAAAAACTATCATAATGCAAAATTTAAAGAAATACCGTACATATTATACTTAGAATACAAGTGGAGTATAAAGAAAGTTAATGTTTCTAAGTCATATTGCAATACTTTAAAAGTTATTAATTTTGCAGGTAGAAAAAGTCATCAAGAAGTTCAATAGCCTGGAAAAACTTAAGAACAACGGATGGAAAGAAGTGCAACATTCACCACCACCTGTGATACATAAAGTGAGGATATATTGACATGCATTTCTTCCAAGTATTTATTGTAGTGAACTCGTAACCTTTTGTCAGATAAAAATTTGTACCAATGTTTGTGATGACATGTTAGTGATATAAGATTCTTTGGTATCCCGGTCACCTTAAGTGGGGAATACGGAAATAGTTGCCATCCAAGCATGTTGTAAATGTGGTGACATGAAATATAAATGGGGGTCAGTTTATGTGGTTGTAACGCAACAAAAGCTTAAACGAGTGTGATGGGATACACCTGCACTTACTCCTGACGTGATTTGTTTTTGACCTTGCCCTTTTATATATATATATATATATATATATATATATATATATATATATATATATATATATATATATATATATATATATATATATATATATATATATATATATATATATATATATATATATATATATATATATATATATATATATATATATATATATATATATATATATATATATATATATATATATATATATATATATATATATATGTATATATATATATATATATATATATATATATATATATATATATATATATATATATATATATATACACACCTAGACCTGACCCACTTACCACGTGACTTGATGGCCGGGATTGACGTGCTGGACTTAACGCCGGGGACCGCCTCTGTATATAGATAAAAAAAAAAAAAAAAATTAATGACAACGAGAAACGTTTCCAGTTAATGTATTCTCCATGTATAATTAGAAAATTATGGGGGCCCCATGTGCATTCAGCTGACTACATTAAAGGTTAAGTGCTCAGTCACACTGTATCCATTCCTTATTATTTATTACTTTCACTGTTATCTTTTGTGCAAAATATATGACATTTATATTCAAAATATTCCTGGTCTTACAAGGAATCCAGCAATGTCAATTATATTATCCTAACCTTAGTTTGAGGTTTTATTTATTAAAATTTAGTGGTTATCCCACACATCTCCTTGGGATGGTTGGTGGGGGGTGGGGGGGAGGGAGGGACCGACTGACCATCTGTTACCCTGTGAAGAATTATTATTTTTTTTTTTATTAACTGAAGATATTTGTATTAGCTCATAAAATTCATACAAATTACCCGGTCTGAATATAATTTACATTGCTGGAATTCTTATAATTTGATGATCATTTTGAATATAAACATCATATTTTTGCATTAGACATACAAATTTTAGATAACAATTTTTCTCAAATTAACTATGTTATCTTTTGTGCAAAATATATGACATTTATATTCAAAATATTCCTGGTCTTACAAGGAATCCACCAATGTCAATTATATTATCCTAACTTTAATCTGAGGTATTATTTAATACTAAATGTTAAAAACCCTGGAAGGGAGGATTGGTGGGGGGTGGGGGGGAGGGTTGGGACTGACCGCGTGGTTGGAAGAGGGGGGGAGGCAAGGTTGAGTCCATTATTTGAATGGACATTAACTTGGCGACTGTATTTCTCTATTTCTCTTAAGTATTAATTGTGTGCATGTACCATCATAAAATTAAGATGTTATTTTTACTACAACATAGGTATGTGCCTTCAAAAGTGGAGTTTGGGGGTCGGGCCGGTTTCTATTGGAATTAATCCCATATGTTCTGTTGTTCACTTAACGTGATTTCACTTAACGTGGACCCTCTGGGTTCACCTTGACCGCTAAGTGGGGTACAACTATATATATATATACATGTATATATATATATATATATATATATATATATATATATATATATATATATATATATATATATATATATATATATATATATATATATATATATATATATATATATATATATATATATATATATATATATATATATATATATATATATATATATATATATATATATATATATATATATATATATATATATATATATATATGACAATGTAAATAACTAAACCTGCAAGTTTCCGTGAAATTGACCAAATACTTTTTCAGAAAAAAAATAGAGTATACAGTACATTCAAATAAAACAGCTTAGGGAAAGTTTTTCTTTACGTGTAATTTTGATCCCAAAGTTCGGAAAAAAAAATCCTGCTTCATGCCCAATCACAAAATCCAAATTTTAGTTCGTAAATATTGTTTTATAAATTTGTGTCAATACATATCTTTTATATTCAAAATAAGTTAAAACTGGTGATATGATATTGCTGTGAATGACTCCAACTTACATTTGAGAAATAATCAGTAAAAAAAAAAAAAAAAGAAAGAAAGAAGATAATTACAGTATGTGTGTACCTTGCAGATACACCTATATTATAGGCAGTAAAGGTATGTTAGGATAAAGAAATGTCTGTATACATTATATGATGTTTATTTTTACATACAATATATAGATCATGGCACCTGGTCCCCTCCTTAAAAAAAGGATATTAATCACTTGGCAGTGAGGGAGTGGGAGTGGAGTTGAAGGGGGGGGGTCAAGTTGATGGGTTGGGTTACTCTGGTGTTGAATTGACATGGCACTGATATACTGTACAGTATACCGTATGTATGGGCAGATCTCAAATTAATGTCCTTATTAAATTTATTTTAAAAAATTCTCCATAATTGTCAAGCATTCCAAATTTGGGAGTTAAGTTTCTGGAGATGAAATTCAGTTCATGTGCATATGGATATTGTAGGTCGCTCATTTCTTCCACTCAGTTTTAAAATGGAATTTCATTCTATGGCTTTAATTTTTTATTCATTTATTTATTTTATTGGAAAGAAGAACAATCTTTATTCATGGGGTACATGCTTTGCCTTTGAATAAAAATGGGAACAAATATATTTTAAATGCAAGAAATATGAAGAAATGTAAATTAATTTTTCAGTTACTCTTTGTCTCCACCACCTATGGCAGCTATGTGCGTTTTCACTTTTTTCTCCCCCCATTTTGACACTAGTATTTAGAAAACGTGTTTCCTGTGAAATTGTTAAAATTAAATGAAAGCAAGTAGTATACCTAGGCTATTTGTAGGAAAAATACACACAAGTTAAGATATATTTATGGATTAAAGCATTTAAAATTGTTTACATTAATTAAAAGGTTTTAAAATAAACTTAAAACCTAAAGAGGTTATAAATTTAAAAGTGAATTAGGAAGTTCTTATCTTCTGACTCATCTGTAATTAACAAGATTCCTTTGACTGGGGCTGTATTTAGTAGGAAACCATTCATATGTGCAGCACATCTACATTATTTCTTCCATAAAAACTTTAGCTACAATGTAAGAGACAACTGATGATTCACTTGTAAGTAAGCTGTCAGTGCTAGATGAGTTTTGTAACCTGTTCTACCCGATAAACATCATCAAATGTTGTTCCAGTGTGCAATTGTGGGGCTAACAGTCCATAACAGACATAACCAGTTGTCACATGTAATTTGTGATGTTAGTGTGACCCCTTTATATGAAGTGTCAGTAATGGCATATTTTGGAACTATACTTCACTTATAAGGTGTGCTTTGATTAGCACTTTTAATATATCTTTTCTGTGGTTTGATTTACAATAGGCTTGGTTTAAGGACAACTTGTCAGTCTGAAAATAGGTTCAAAGCCACTGACATCCTTTGTCAAATTTAGCTTCAAATTTATCTCGGACACAGACCTAAGCTTTCTGGATATTGTATTCAGTTTACTTTGTTTAAAGTGTTAAATAAATCTGACCATTGGAACATCTTCAGTACAATACTTGTAAGAATTTATTCTCCCTCCAGATTTGGATTTTTCATTGAAAACTAGGATGAAAAACTGTGCAACTAAAATTCTATGATGATCAGCTGTCATTACTTTGTGAGGCAAATATATTTTCCAGTTTAGCAAGTGATATGGCCTCTAATTTTTTTGGTGAGACAAGTTGTTCTAAAGGTAACGGCTGTCTCAATTGCATCATTATTATGTTCAGTGTCATAAACAGTGTACTGTACTGTGTATTTGTACATATTCATTATTTGTACATATTTTAATAATGTGTCTTCTTTGTTTTCTTCAAGAAAAAACTTCTCAGCACACCAAATAAACCTTGTGTAACGAAGCCCAGGAAGGGCAACAGTGACTTGAGAGCTCACATACTGGCAGCACGCAAGAAAATGCAAGCCAAGAGTGAGAATGCAGAAAAGGATTCCAAGACTCTTTTCAAGGTAAGCTAGATATAATACAGTACAGTGGAGATTCGGTAATTCACAAAATACAAATTTGCTTTCCTAAATTCACGAGTACCTCTTACTGCTTCTTTTTTAAATTTTGCAGTCAAATGTTCATACTGTAATTTGAGGCTGGGCACCATCTGCCGCAGTGTTTGTCTGCTTAAGAAACCATAAAAGTTGTGGAAATATAATTTCATTGCTCTAATTAGCCTTAGAAATAAATAAAATAAAATTTGAATACTGTATCATTCCAATGCTCCAAAGAAAATGTAATATAAAACTATAAAATTCAATAAGAAAAATGAAATGTAGTACAGTAACTGAATTGTTTGTGGGAGGCTGGGCAGTTGGCTGGTGGACAGAGCGAATATACACACACGACCATTCCTGCTCTGAGCTCACACCTCCAACCTCATTAATACAAAATAATGCAATTTTAATCTGATTCCCATTTTATTAAAGTTCATTTGGTCTTGGTTAATAAAACATCATCATAAAGTAATAGATTTTCAAAAAAATATCTCATACTCAACCTCAGATGAGTTATTGTGTGGCTTAGATTCCTGGTTCTTTGTTGACATAGTGTGGTCACTGCCATCTCAGTGTCTGCCTGTCTTCATGTTGGGGTATTGGCATGGCCCACACAATTATGAGAAGGAAAGGAACTGTTTATGTATGAAGTTTAGTGTTTATTAAAGCAGTTTTGGAAAAATTTATGGGTATTTCTTGGTTTCTGGAACCATTTAAATCAATTTAACTATACAGTACAGTCGACCCTTGTTAATTCGGACTAATAGGGGGGGAAGGGTGTCCGTTTTAGCCGATTGTCCGAATTAACCGATTTAGGGGTTAATATTGCATTACTGGTATATTTCAAAGTCATTGTTTTCGTCACGATTTTATCCCACTTTCCACTGTAATACGTACGTAATTTCAGCAAAAATATTACATTTCCGTGAATGTATTATATCAAGCACAGTATGAATAGAATATCATTGTAATATAACAGTATTTTAACCGAAAACTATTAAAAAAACGAATAACATCTCAAGAACATCGGAAGCTTAGGTAAAGTCTTTTGTTTTCGTCATGTATTTTATCATATTTTACATTGAAATACATCACTTTTCAGCAAAACTACTATTTATTTCCGAGAATATATATATAGTGGTCCCTTGGTTAACGAGATTTCGGTTAACGATTTACCTTCCATAAGATTCTTAACTTCGGTTAACGAGCAATCCCTCGATTAACGAGTTTTTTACGAGCCGACTTCAACATGTTTTCACTTGCATTTGGCGGTCCACCAGCTGTAGTATTAGTCCGCCAATACAGTTATCGGTTTTAGGGCTTAAATTCCTTACTGTTTTAGTAAATATCAAGAAGTTTATACTATTCAATAATTTTAAAAGTTTAATATTAACTTTTTTTAGTCATTTTAACAATTATTGGACATAATTGAAGGTAAAGAAACTAGTTTCTGGCGTGCCATCCAGCCTGTTAACACACCAGACAGGCGTTAGTCTCTCTCTGTTTTCAGTGGAGGTAACATCTTGCTTGAGACTCTATTCAACTAAACGCTTTTTTTCTGTGTTTCCAAGCAAATTATTGGTCATTTTGAAATATATTTTACATATTGACAATATATAATGCAGTGCAGTGTTGATTTAAAGAAAATAATCTTGAAATACACCAAGAGAACTAAAATTTTATGGGTGAAATGGTGCCATGGGGTGACTTCTCTTCCACCCCAATGCTTTCTCATCTTCCTTCTCCTCCACCCCCATTCTAATTCCCATCATCATCCAGGAGCCTTCTACATACACACCTCAAAGTAAGTGTGCTTTTCTACCTTTTTTGTTGAATTTAGGCAATTTTCGGTGAGCTGGAACCGATTACCCAAAAACCCATTGAAACAATGGTTTCGGTTAACGAAGTTTTTCGGTTAACGAGCAACCACTGTGTGTGTGTGTGTGTGTATATATATATATATATATATATATATATATATATATATATATATATATATATATATATATATATATATATATATATATATATATATATATATATATATATATATATATATATATATATATATATATATATATATATATATATATATATATATATATATATATATATATATATATGTATATATATATATATATATATATTTATATTTATATATATATATATATATGCATATACATATACATACACATACATACAGTCAACCCTCACTTTACGCGGTCCCACATTCCGCGTTTCCACGTTTAAGTGGTGCCCTGCCGGAACCTAACATGCTCACATTCCGCGGTGCGTGTACCCCATTACGCGGAGAGCGGCTGGCGAGCCTCGCCATTTTTGGATCCAAACCTCCTGCCATCTGCCATGTTGTGTAAGCGGCGCGAACATGGTGCGCACTAGGTCAGCCAGTCATCAAAACATTACCAGTTTTTCACCCGCCACCCACCACAGCCGGCCCAAGTCAGTGATAGTGATAATTATAGTGAGGATATGAACTTATATGAACTTTGGGGGGTTTGACAAAGAGGCCCTGCAAGCCTCTGTGGTGGATAGTGATACAATTGATACAAGTGATACAGGTGAGGGCCAATAATCTGCCCTCTGCCTCGGAACCAACCGCCCATCCCCGTGTGCCCAGCCATCTTTTCTACTAATGTAAGTGTTAAAAAACCTAATATTATTGATATTTCTCTTAATTATTAATTGTGTTGCATACCATCATAAAGTTAAGATAAAATTTTTACTACAACATAGTTGTGTGTCGTCAAAAAGTGGAGTTTGGGGGTCGGCCCGGACTCTATTTCAATTAATCCCATATGTTATGTTATTCACTTTACGCGTTCCTCACTTTCCGCGGCACCCTGTGGGTTACATTAACCGCGTAAAGTGAGGGTTGACTGTATATATATATATATATATATATATATATATATATATATATATATATATATATATATATATATATATATATATATATATATATATATATATATATATATATATATATATATATATATATACACACACACACACACACATACATACATACATATATATATATATATATATATATATATATATATATATATATATATATATATATATATATATATATATATATATATATATATATATATATATATATATATATATATATACAGGGAGTTCTGCTATAACGCGTGTTTTGATAACGCGAATTTGCTCTAACGCGATTTATGAATTCGGAACAATATTTGTATAACGCGAACGCTTGTTTGCTATAACGCGATTTTTGCTTACTATTTCTCCAATTTTGTGGTATTAACTGTGAATATGGTAAAGAAGAATATCTCCAAAAGGCGCTCTGATGATAGAATTCCCGGTGATTATCGTAAAAGAAAGGATATAACACTCTCAATGTTATCAACCTCAAAATCACCCTTCTCCCCCATCAAGTTACATTCATATTTTTTCAAGGTAAAGTGTTAAATTTACTGTATGATTTCATTATTAGATATGAATGTAACATTTATTTAGACTGTGCTATCCTTTGTGTTAGGCTAAATACTAAATTTTTTCGATTTCGAGTAATCTGCACCTAACCCTATTTTCTCCATAAGCCCTGTTATTTCTATTACGCGATTTTCTATAACACGATATTTTACAAGAACACAATTATCGCGTTATAGCAGAGTATAGCATAACTATATATATATATATATATATATATATATATATATATATATATATATATATATATATATATATATATATATATATATATATATATATATATATATATATATATATATATATATATATATATATATACATACATATATACACAGTGGTCCCTCAGTTAACGAGCACAATCCTTTCCAGCAACCCTCACTTTACGCGGTTAATACAACCCACAGGGTACCGCGGAAAGTGAGAAACGCGTAAAGTGAACAACATAACATATGGGATTAATTGAAATAGAGACCGGGCCGACCCCCAAACTCCACTTTTTGACGACACACAACTATGTTGTAGTAAAAATTTTATCTTAACTTTATGATAGTATGCACACACAATTAATATAGAAGAGGTTAGGTTAGGAAAAATAATGGTTAAGTTAGGAAAAATAAAGGTTTGGTTAGGAAAACTAAAAGTTAGGTTTAACACTTACGTTAGTAGAAGAGATGGGTTGGCATACGGGGATGGAGGCTGGTTCCGAGGCAGAGGGCAGGCTACTGGCCCTCAGGTGAGTCACCATCACTGTCATCCACACTTGTCAGGGCCTCCCTGACAAATCCCTCAAAGTCATCTTCACTGTCTCTACCTCTGTCACTATCACTGGCTTGGGCTGGCTGTGGTGGGTTGCGGGCGAAGAACTCTGTTATGCTTTGCTGACGGCTGGTGTTTATGTTGTCGTGATAAACCTTGAAGTAGGGCTCCATAGTCTGCAACAGCTGGGTAGTGAAGATTTCATACCTGTTTGCGTCATGGTCGTCGGAAAGGAGGAGCTTGATTTTCTCGACACACTCGATGGCACCCCTAACATTACTATGGGATAAGCGGTGTTCTTCTTGGGATGACGCACCTGCCTCTTCACTGACGTCATCATCATCTACCATCTCGTCGGTAGTCACATCAGGATCCCTTATCACCTCCAGGATGTCATCGTTGGTGGTCTCGGAGAAGCCTGCAGCTGTAACACTCTGCGCATCCTCTCTGGCAAGGTCCACTGCTACTGCAACAGTCTGAACCTCACCAGTCACAGATTGACTCTGCCTAACGGCCGGAATGCCTTGCAACACATGTCTCCATGCGTGACGAACAGTTGCTACAGACAGCTGATCCCATGCCTCCACCAAGAAGTCCACAGCTTTCTTGATGTTGAATATTCTCCAGAATTGTTTGAAAAGTACTTGTTGCTCTGCCAACTGTTGATCCTCGTCGTCTTCGCTCTTGCTATCGGTGGTGGTGTCACTCAGGTTACG